CAGGGGGGGGCAGGTAGTGAGGCGGGCTTCTGAGAAGACTCTGGTGACTTCCTCAGTGGTATGGTGTAGGGCTGAAGGAGTGCAGTGATGGGGGGGTTACGGTAGGGTGGGATCTTGGGGTGTGGTGGGGGGCAGTGCCGTTGCAAGGGTCAGAGGAGGGGAAGAGATGAGAGGGTGTGGATGGGGGGAGGGGGCTAGATGGGGAGGTAGACTGCAAGTTGACTATGTCCTTGCGGATTGCGTTCAATCTTGCTATGGAGATGAAGTGTGGCAAATTTCGTGGGCGGTTGTAAGTGAGTGGTTAGGTTGTGGTGGTTGGGGGGGTGTGTGGTGGGGGGTTTGTGGGGGGGGGGTTTTTTTTGGGGATGTTCGGGGGGGGAGTTGAGGTAGGTGGTGGGAGAAGGGTGTTGGGTGGGTGGAGTTTTTGGGGTGTTGAGAGGGGGTGTTTGATCAGGTCAACGAAGTAGGCCTGCTTGGCGGGGTGGGAGGGAGGAGGTGTTCAGTGGGGAGGAAGGGGTTTGTGTTTGTAGAGGGGAATGCATGAGGGGACCTGGTTTTGCGCCATAGTCTCTCCAGCGCACGACTGCGACGTTTGGTGTGGCATTTAGTGGATGGTCGTTCTGCCATGGTTTTTGCGTGGAGCGGTCTGGGGTTTGATGTTGCGTTGTGGTTTGGGGGTGCCAGGAGTCTTCGGGTGGCTGATAGTGAGTCGTTGTACGCGGTTGGTGGTGGCTAGGTCAGGGTTGACAGTGGGCGGATTGCTGTCGTGCAAGGGGGGGCGGGTGGAGGGGGGGTTGGGGTGGTGCAGGTTGGGGGGGGTTGGGCTGGTGAGGGTTTGGCGCACTGGGGGGGAGGGGGGATTGGGGGGGGGTGATTGGGGGGTGGGTTCTTGAACGGGTGGTGAGGGGTTTGGTGGGATTAGGGAGGTTGGGGGGGGGGGTTTTGGTGAAGGGTGGGTTTTGGGGTACAGAGGTGGGGAGGAAGACGAGGTTTGGGGTGTTCCCATTTGGTTGTGGTGGAGGGGGGAGTGGGGGATGTGTTTGTGGTGAGTGCGGGGGGGCTTGGGGGGGTTAGGGGGGGTTTTGGGGGGAGGTTTTGGTGTGGGGGTGTGGTCGTTGATGGGGATGGATGTTGGAGTCCCCGAGGATGGGGGTGGGGGGTCGGTAGGGGGGGTGGAGAGGAGAGGAAGAAGGGAAGCCAGGCGGCGGTTTTCATCCAGGAAGGGGCGGTTCAGGGGGTTTGTATTGGGGTGGGGGGGGGTGTGTAGATTAGGGGTTGCAATGGATTAAGGGGGGGGGGTGTATGGTTTGGGGGTGGGGGCGGGGAGGGGGGGTGGGTTGGGGGGTCGGGGTGTGGGGAGGGGGGGGGGTGGGAAGGTTGTTTAAGGGTTAGGGGGTGTTGGTGGGGGTGGGTTGACCTGGGTTTGGTTTTGGGTTGTGGGGGGGAGGATGTGCGGGTGGATTTGGAGCAGGCCGACACCACCACCTTTGTGGACCGGTCTTGGTGTTATGGGACCAGATGAGACCTCCATGAGAGAGTTGGCAGGGGGGGGTAGAGTCGGTGGCCTGTACCCAGGTTTCGGGGATGGCTGGAGGTTGAGGGGGGGGGAGATTAAAGAGGTTATACTGGATTGGGTTGGATGGCAGTTAGTTTGTTTGCAAAGGGGTCGCGGGCGTTCAGAAGTGCAACCGAGGAGGGGGGGGGGGATGTGGGGGTGTGAGGTGCACAGGTATGAGGTTGAGGGGGGGGTGGGGCGGGTCTGGCGGGAGCAGGGGGTGGTCCCTGGAGGGGGGGGGGGGTGGTGAGGGGCCAGGGTTCGGGGTGATGGGAACCAGGTGGGTAGGGAAGGAGAAGGGGGGTGGTGGGGGTGGGCATGGGAATGGGGGGTGGGGGGTTAATGGGGTTGGTTCTGGTTTTGGGGTGGGGGTATTCGGGGTGATTTACGGGGGTGGGGGTTTCTTGAGTGGTTGGGGTGAGTGGGGTACCAGGAGGAGGTGGTGGAGTGCGGTTTGGAGGGGTAATGGAGGAGAAGATGGGCGGGGTAGAGGGGAGGAGAAAATTTTGGGTGGTTGGAGGAGAGGGGAAACGGGGAGGGAGAAGGGCAGGGTGGCATGCTGGGGTGGGTGCAGTGCTGTTCGGGACAGGGGAGGTGAAGGGATACGGGTCAGGGGAGGTGATGTGGAGAGTCTATATCACCGTGGAGGAGTCCACTAGAGTCCTTCTGTAGGGGGAGAGTGGGGAGTTGAGTCCAGCAGCTGGCTGGCTGCAATCTGTGGGTGCAGTTGCTGGCTGTGCCGAGGGGGCATCAGTGGGTCTGGTGGATCGGCGAGTGGAGGGGACGTAGGGTTGCCGAATGTCGATGTTGGGGGGCGTTGGCAGGCAAGGTGTCTGGTGATGCTGGCGGCTCGGTGACTGGAGATTCGCTGGGTGGTCCGGGTCTGGGAGATTCGCTGGGCGACGTCTCGATTCGCTGGGCGACGTCTCGATTCGCTGGGCGACGTCTCGATTCGCTGGGTGGTCCGGGTGTTGGGTGACCAGAGGTGGTAGCTGGGTGCCCGGTAGGCTGGGTGCTGGGTGTCCAGGGGTGGTAGAGCTGGGTGTACCCGGTAGCTGGGTGCTGGGTGTCCAGGGGTGTTAGCTGGGAGCTTAGACTTCGAGTTGCCAAGCAAAGGCCAAGAGATGGGAAGGACGGGAGAATCCTCATCAACAATGCATTGCAATATCTGGAACGGCATTAAAGACCCATGGTTTTACGGAATCCCCTCGATGCAGGTAGCGGAGGTGCGGCGTTGTCCTGGAAAGGTTCCTGGTCTGGGGCTGGCTGGTGCAGGGTGGCCCGCAGGGTGAGGCTGGGAGGCCTGAAGCAGTTCCCAGGCAGGGTCACCGGGTTTACTGCGAGCAGCTGGGTGCCCCGAGGTGGGCGGCTGGGTGCCGGGTGGTCTGGGGTGGTCCCAGAGCTAGGGAGGGCTCCAGGGAGACCGTGAGGCCGTGCCGGTTCCTGGTGGTCCAGGGTGATCAGCGAGGACCCAGGGCTAATGGGGAGGGCCCTGGGCAGGCAGGCAGGTCGGCGGGACCCGGTGGGCAGAGCGGTGACGGTCCGGGTAGATGTCCGGCGTTCCGGTCCGATCGCGGCTCGGCCGCGGCCAAAATCGAGGCCGCGGCTTCGGAGCTACGTGCGCGGGTAGGCCGCGATTTCCGGGGCTCCGGGAAAAGGTCCAGAAGTGGTCCCTGGTGGTCAGGCTGGGCCGGGAGTGTCTTAGGGGCCCCGCTGGGTTCCGCTGCGGCCCGGGATGGCAGCGGATTGGGGCTAGGAGCGCAGGAGCTCCTAAAGCGTGTCTGCTCCCGCCGCCATCTTGTCTTGTCTTGTCTTGGTCTTTTATTAATCTCTCCAGTATTTTCCCAACTATAGAAGTTAAACTAACAGGTCTATAATTAATTGGTAAAGATTTTGACCCCATTTTAAATATTGGCACCACATTGGCCTTACGCCAGTCCAGTGGTACTATGCCAGTCATTAAAGAGACCCTATGAATGAGAAACAATGGCTTTGAAATGACAAAGCTCAATTCTTTAAGGACACGTGGGTGTATTCCATCCGGTCCAGGTGCTTTATTCACCTTTATTCTGTCTAAATATTTTTGGATCATATCAGTTGTGAGCCAATGTGGATCATCTGGAGCTGTGTCAGTACCATGCCCATTATGGACAAGAGCTCCCCAATGCTCCTTTGTATGCACAGAGCTGAAGAAGGGATTAAATTAATTTGCCTTCTCTTTGTCCCCAATCACCCAATCTAGATTATTTTATAAAGGGCCTACATGCTTGGAAAACTGTAATCAACGTTGACGTTATCAAAACGTCCCGTGTGCATGAGGAGTTATCGAAGTTGCTTTTCTGTCACCACAGCAAGGTCTTAATTGTTTTTCAATTAGGTGAAATTTAAGGGTTTATTTACTAAAGCCGGAGAGTGCAAAATCAGGATCAAGTCCACATAGAAGCCAATCAGCTTCCAGGTTTTACTGTCGCGGCTTAATTGAATAAGCTGAGGTTAGAAGCTGATTGGTTTCTCTGCAGAAGTGATCCTGATTTTACACTTTCCAGCTTTAGTAAATAAACCCCTTAGTGTCTAACATCTACTGCTTCACCTTATTCTTAGTAAATCCACCCTAATGTGTTATAGTGTAGGAATGGCGTATTGCTTTCTTCCACCGGTCAACTGAGTTGATTTTAAGTCAGATTCCCATTTTAGCATTGGTGAAGTTTTAAGAAATACCTCTTTATGTTAGAGGAGAGAATAAAATAGGGAGATACCCTTGATGTGGGAGAATCGGATTGTATAGAACTGCCAGGCTTGTGGGTGCATATAAATTGACGGTTTAGGGTTGATTTTGTAAGAAATGTGTGATGCATTTGTAGTGATGTTTTAAAAATGCCGGACTTTAAACCAACTTAACCACCTCCTGCCCGCCATATAAGGAAATGGCCCGCCTCCAGGACTTCTTCAGGGTGTCACCCATCCTCTGGAACTCCCTGCCCCAACCCATCAGATTATCACCTACTCTCCTCTCCTTTAGGCGCACCCTGAAAACCCATCTCTTCAGGGAAGCCTACCCCACCCCCTGCTAACTTGCCGACCTCCTCCACTCTTCCTACCACTCCATCCCCCACAGCTATCTCCTCCTGTGCCACCATCCCCTCCGTCCTAGATTGTAAGCTCGAAAGAGCAGGGCCCTCGATCCCCTTATGTTTTGCATTGTATTGGTATTGTTCTGTCACATGTTCTGTCCCCCTTTGTAATGTACAGCGCTGAGCGAACTATTGGCGCTTTATAAAATACTGTATAATAATAATAATAATAATGATGGACGGGCGGGTGGTTCTCTCGTTCTGGGAGGACGACATATGACGTCCTCCCACTCTAACCACGTGTGCGCTCCTCCGGGGGCACGCAGTGCAGCGATCACTGGTGTGCTGTGTCCCTGGGATAAAGTGGATCACCGATCAATGGAAAGAGCCAAAGAAGTCGGCTCTGTCATGTTATCAGCTGTGTCCAATCACAGCTGATCGCATGTAAATAAGGAAATGCTGGTTATCAGCATTTCTCAACTCACAAGATGTCAAGCAGACAGTTCGAGAAGAGAGGAAAGCCGGTAATCGGCATTACTCAGAGGGGACATCTACACTGATCATCAGGGCACTGATGATCAGTGTGCCCTGATGATCAGTGTAGCCCCTTCAGTGCCACCTGTCAGTGCTCATCAATGCCACCTGCCAGTGCCCATCAGTGCCACATCAATGTCACATCAATACCACATATCAGTGCCCATCTGAGCTGTCTTTCAGTGCCACCTATCAGTGCCAGTGAGTGCCGCTTATCAGTGCTGTCAGTCATTGTTGCCTATCAGTGCCAGTCAGTGCCACCTATCAGTGCTAGTCAGCATCGCCTATCAGTGCCAGTCAGCATCGCCTATCAGTGCCTGTAAGTGATGCCTATCAGTGCCGCCTAACAGTGCCAGTCAGTGCCGCCTATCAGTGCCAGTCAGTGCTGCCTATCAGTGCCATATATGAGTGCTGCCTGTCAATGCCCATCAGTGCCACCTACCAGTGCCTCCTCATCAGTGTCCATGAGTGCAGCCTATCAGTGCCCATCACTGCAGCCTCATTAGCGCACATCAGTGAAGGAGAAAAATCACTTATTAACAAAATTTTATAACCGAAACTAAGAAATAACTTTTTTTTTTCAAAATTTTCTGTTGTTTTCGGTTTGTTTAGCAAGAAATAAAAAAAACCCAAAGTGATTAAATACCACCAAAAGAAAGCTCTATCTATCTCCAAAAAAACGGATAAAAATGTCATATGGGTACAGTGTTGCATGACCGAGCAATTGTCATTCAAAGTGTAACAGCGCTGAAAGCTGAAAATTGTCCTGGGCAAGAAGGGAGTATACAGTAAGTGCCCTGTAAGCAAGGGGTTAAAAAGGGCAGCAGAAGACAGCGATCACATAAGGTACATGCAGGTGGGATCTTGCAGAGAATGGTGTAAATTAAATTTTACATTTTTTGTCAAAAAGTGAAATGACCCTTTAAATGAAGCTTTAGAGTAATATTACAGGGAGTGGTGGGGTTTCAAGTCAATGTCAAATCAACATTACAAATTAGTTAACATGAACATTTGAATTTAAAAATACAGATCCAACTCTTTGCTATACTGAAAACTTACTATTCCAATAGGTCGATTTCAGCTTGTAAAGCTTTAGTCCTCACCCCATATTTGAAGGGGTCGCAGAAACCCCACTGAATATATAGAGAATAGATTAATAGTACATTATGAGCAGAGAGCGGGAGACTTTCACTACCAAGCCTGTGCCAAACAAGGACAAACAAATGTCCTAAAAGGAATACGTTCCATAAATGTGTCAGCAAAGTGTTGGTGGATTTTTTATGGAGCACTTTAAAAACAGTACAACATTTCACAAATATTCGAATGTAGGAATAAAAAATAACATGCAGCAAAACACATAAGTCGATCACAGTTGCAGTTGTGTTGTAAAGGTTGTTCAAACTGGACAAATAAAAAAAAACACAAAAAATACTCTTGATGTGTTTTCCACAAAGAGGACATCCGGATGAGTGGAGCACAACTGCTAAAACCTCAAAGAAGCAGAAAACCAAAGACCCAGTGCTGAGCTTCATGACCATCTCAACTGACATCAAGGTGATGTATTTTTTAAGAAATGACAGATTATGAGGTATTGGTCATAAGTTATGAGGGAAAATAAAGCTCTTATATCCAGATATAGGAGTAAAAAATTACAAGCAGCAAAAAACACAAGTAGGCCACAGTTTTACAGTTGTGCCGTAAAGATTGTTCACCGAAGAGTCTACACAGGACAAAACAAAAAAAAAAAACGACATATTGTCACAGAAAACACAATGTTTTTTCCACAAAGAGGCAATCTGGCTGAGAGGAGCACGGCTACTAAAACCACTAAGATACAGAAGATCAAAGACTCAGAAGACCATGACAGAAGACCATGACCATGACAGAAGACCATGACCATCTCAACTGACATCAAGGTGACGTATTTTAAGAAATGACAGACTACGAGGTATTGGTCA